TGGCCATTCAGTTTTACACCCTCAACCTTTTCTTTGTTTATTTTTGTTTCTCTTTCAATTTGATTTTATTTTAAATACTTTCCTAACTCCAAAAATTCCCCAAAATATATTTTTTGACACTCTAATGTGTTACTTAATTTTTCATGATTTTTATTTTCTATTTTTTGATATTTTATTTGGAATTTCTTTGTGGATATGTTTAATTGACCAAGTTTTGTAAATTAGGGTTTGATTGTTGACCTTTCCCTTTGATTCTTGATCCCAATTTTTGTACACATGTAGACACGTGTATATAGGTATTTTAAATGTCCATTTGATGTCTTGATCATTAATTTTGGTCCATATTTGAATCTCTTTTTAAAGCCTAACTTGTGTGATCAATGGTTTGTGTGTTTGCTTGAGGATTGATATTGTTTGAGCATTGTTTGTACACTTTCTTAGACACGTTTTTAGAGAAATTTGAGCCACTGACTTCTTGATGTTATGACTATTTTCCCATCATTTTTAAAGCCTCCTAACTATTTCTCTTGTGTGATACAATGCTTGTCTATTTGCTTTGATGCTTTTGTGCGTAGTTGTTTGTTTAAAGGTGCACTTGTGTAGCCACTTAGGGTTTGTGCTACTCTCTTTTTCTTGATTCAAATACCATGTGGTAGATCCTCTCTTCATATATTATAGGTCATTCCATGCTTCTTTGATTATGTTCACAATGGATTAAAATTTTCCATGCATATTTGCCTATCTTTGTTGCCTTTCCTTGAGCTTCTCATGCTATCTCTTATTGATGCTTATGATACCAATGCACATGTCATTTGTCTCTTACTTGTTTGGTTTGATACCTATCTTCCATTTTCTTTTTTCCTCTTTACTTAACATGGTGTTAATGTTCCATTAGGAGGATGCTTAGGGTTTTGTTTTGACCTTTTTTTGTCTCAAATTTTTAGTATGCTTTGATGTGATACCTTAATGATGTTTATAGGTATTTCATGTGCATTAAAACCTTGTCTAATCTTCTGACTTCTCTTCTCTTTATACTTAATTCTATGCTTAAATGTTTAACTTTCCCCGCTAAGGGTAGTTTACTTTTTTTGTCAAAATTGCTTGATGATTGTATACTTTGGTGATTATACCTTGAATTAAATTCTTGGTTGAAATTCTTTGTACCTTTTAGGCTTATGTTATCTTAATAAAATGTTCATGCTTGTCTCCTTCTTTACCATGTCTCTTTATAATTGTTTTGATTGATAGCACTTCATGAGGACTAGTGTCCCTTTTAGGGTTGTTTGTGATTCTTCCCTTGTGTGATTTTGTTGTGTATTATTCTCAAGCATGCTTATATGATGATGAGTAATTGATGTCTTTGCTATTGAATTTTATACCTCTTCATCTCTTTCACTTTAATTCACATTCTTATACCATGATAGCTTAGGCACTTGACACATAGAGCTTCACATGCTAGTATACTTAGGTGTTTGCTTTCTCTTGTGTTTTTAATGCATATACCTCTTGTGCATGACCCTTAGGGTTAGATAGCATGTATTTTTGGTCACATTGATGTTGAGTTTCTGCCTTCTAATATTTGATAACATTCTTCATGATTAATCATTCATTTTCAAATTATTTGAGAAGTTTTGTCCTTCTTTGTCATGCTTAGATAAGTGTGTGTGATAGGTGGTGTTTGATAACATGAGACCTTTTGGTGATGTGATGAGATATTTTAAAGCATGCTTAGACTTAGTTGTATACCCTTTCTCTCTTATTTGCTTTCTTTCTTTGACATTGTTTGAAGTTGTGACTTCTAATTGCTTACTTGCGCTTCTGGTTGCCTAGTTAGGTGGTATTCTCTTCTTCTTGACTTATGATGCCTTGTTTAGGGTAAAATTAGGTTGATAATATGTTAGGACTAGTAGCTTCAAGTGATTTGCTTGTGTTACAATAACATGGCCTCTTGGTTGGTTAACCATTACTTATATGTCTTACTTCCTCACTTTGTTCAAGTAGGATAGTGCTTAGGTTAAGGAATGTTCAGCTCTTGTATGATTTGACTCTTCTCATGGATTGATGTGTGACATCTTATCTTATATTTTTATTTGATAACATGAGTTCTACTTTTTCAAGTGTTCTATTTGTGGTATCCTTGATCATGACTCACTAGTGCTTAGTGTTTAGATAGTCACCTAATTGCATGTGTGTGTTACTTTGATACTTGCTTAGTTAAGTAGGTATGTGTTAGGAATTTTGTTAAGTGCTTAATAGGTGAATAGGTAGTTACATCTCATGTGTTTTTGCTTGCTTTAAAATCTTAGCTAAGTGTTTGGTGCTTGTTTTCCCTCTTCTCTTTTCTTTGTCTTGTAATATTCTTGGTTAAGATTGGACTAAAGTAGACCCTAGGATTGAATCCAAGCATGACACACGTAGGATTGAGATTCCCTTTCGATTAGTCTTTTTCTTTTTTGCATCCATTCTAAAACTAAAAAAATTTCTTAATAAAAAATCCAAAAACATCTAACATTACTCAAACACTTCCAAAAATAAAGGAGAAGTACTTAGATACCCCTACCTTCTAAGGGACCATCTAATGTATTCTTATAACAAAACACTCAACCAATCAAAACTCTTTTTCCACTTGGAGCCTTTACTTTTGAAAACTTTCAAAAAGGACATGCTCGTCGACATTGTTCATAAAAAACACACAACAAACCAAAACACCTTTTTAGGTGAACTACGAGTGCCCTGATCCTCTATTGCACGAAGGGGATACGTAGGCACAAAGGTTCACAACCGCGGTGGACGCAATAATAAAAAACTTTCTTTTTGTTTGTATATAATTTTTTGCATTCATGCATTCCCATTAACTTGTTAATCGACTCCCATACTCGTTCTCTTGGTCGCAGGACCTTGATTTCTCCTTTCTCTGGTTTTCTTCGATGTTTTCCTTTCTCTTCTTTGGGATAAATGAATATTCGATGATGACTTCATTGTTCATCATTTTTCCTAGTTGCTTCACAAGTTGTGACAATGTATGGGCTATTGATGTTAAATTGTGGACATTGATTGGACTGCTGGTGTAATGTTTGTGGACTGTTATGATACAACATGGTGATATAGGTAGTATGTTCTGATGCGGTGGTTATATGTATGCGAACTGATTACTGTATTTTTGCATTGGGTTTGTTATGCGTAGCGTGTGTATATGGTGCTCAAGTCATTACTTTAATGTAAACTGATACAATAAATTATTTTGCAGGTTGATGGAAGTGTTATGACAGATGCGGGAAATTGTATGAAGGCATGGACCTATTAAATGTATGGCATGAAGCTGGTTGGTATCACGACATGTTGCATCAGGTTTGGTGTGAACTTATGGTTTTTTCTGCAGCATGTAAGGTATTAATGTTTGACTCCATATATGTAGGCTTGGACTGGTTAATGAGCGGGTTTATTTGGTGGTCTAGGTATAGTAAGTTTGTACATGGTCTGGTCAAGGAGTTTAATCATGGAGTCATGGATGCATATGATGGATGGCAATGGTTTTGAGATAGCAAGAAAGAGAGGGCTTGAAAGATGAAGTAGTTTCATGAATTAGAACATTTTTAGGGATATGGTCAATAGTTGACCAAAAAGTCAACAGTAGCAAATTGTGTATTTTTTGTAATTTTCGATGGATGTAGTGGACACTCAGATGTATTTGGCAATGTATTGACATGTGGTAATGAAATTTGTATACTTTGACTTCATATATGGATGTTTGACTTTTCTTATTTCTTACATCTTAAGTATTCAAACTAAATGACTTTGTCCACTTGAATGAATTATAAGCCAACTAATATTGATGTCCCAAATAATGTGCTCAAAATAAATGATTTTGGTCAAAAATCAACCACTCATAGTTGACTTAGACTAAAAAGTCGGTTATTCAGATGCTTCCAAAAGCTTCCGAATGTCCTTTTCTTCGTCATTATGCACCAGATAATCAAAACTTCAATAAAGATAGAATCTTCCAGACCTTAGATCAGTAAGTCAACCATAGTTGTCTTTGGCCAAAAAGTCACAATTACCTCTAGATCACAAAACACCTTGATTTAAATAGTTTTGCCAAATATTGCACCAAGATGATGGAAGAAACCTTAAAACCCTAATTCTTGGCAAACCCTAATTTGGATTACACAGTTAAGATCCAATGTCTCTAGAGATATTTGAACCAATGCGTATCTTTGAATGCAAATGAATGATCCTAAGAAGAAATGAATGTTTTAGTTTAGAAGGAAATGAATGATTTGTACAAATCATAAGTCAAATGAAATTTGAATAGGATAACACATATTTGGGGTATGACAGCATACGGTCAGGGAATTTCAATCATGTATTACTAAAGGCTATATGTATCTTTCATATCATTAGTGAAGAAGAATTGGGTAAACTCACCAGACATCGGTTGTCTTAGTCTTTGGTACTATCAGAGGGGATGTCTTTTTGTTCGACCATTTTCAAAAGTAGAAATAAGAGATTTAGGAACATGTCAACGCTATTACTATCGAGTGACACATGTAGATAGAAGAGCTTACTATAAAAATTGATTTGTTGGGAGAGATAGTGTTTGAAGTGCAAATTTTCAAATACCCTCACTTATTAGATAAGGTGGTACAATCTCTTGCGCGTGAGATGAAGAAAGTTGAAGTTCTATAGTTGGCCTGGTAGGTTGTTATCCTGCTGAATTTCCAGCATTTAAATTTAATTAACCATTCTATCTTGCCTATTTTTTAATTCAGGAATTTTATCTTCTTTTTTTCCAACCATTAGATCAAGCAGAATTGGCAGCATGACTAAAGAAACAGAGAGAATCCAAATCTAAATTATCTCTATGAGAAAAAGGTTAAGACCAAGAGATTTGGATTCAGCCTTATACATTACAAATTAAATCTAACCATCACCTTCAACGTGTAAAGAAAATTCACATATTAAATAAGAAAATGAATAAGAGAGCTTCTTGTTCTTGTTGTTCAACCTCCGAAACCGTACAAGGTTCTTCCCTGCCTCTTTAGCGCATAAACAACATCCATGGCGGTAACAGTCTTCCTCCTTGCGTGTTCGGTATATGTAACAGCATCGCGGATGACGTTCTCCAAAAAGATCTTCAACACACCTCTTGTTTCTTCGTAGATCAAGCCGCTGATTCTCTTCACACCTCCTCTTCTCGCCAATCTACGAATAGCTGGCTTCGTGATGCCTTGGATGTTGTCTCGGAGAACCTTTCTGTGCCTCTTTGCACCTCCCTTTCCAAGTCCCTTACCACCCTTTCCACGACCTGACATCTTCGATTCAAATTCTCAAATTCAAATTTTAGGGTTTTACTTCGAATTTGAGATGGAAATTACAGAATGTGATGGCGCTATTTATTATCTGTTGCAGAGGGAAGAAGAAGAGGCTTATGAGATTCAATTCAATCTCTATCGTTGAATTCGGATTAATCGACGGCTTATATTGGTGATCCGTGCATAGCTAGATGATAGCTTAAGGACCGTAGATAGATTAATATTAACGGTCAGATTTGGCTTTTAAGGCCTTTTGCGGATCAGCTCTTGGCTTGGTTGAAATTTCAGATTGTTTTTTTTTAATAAATTGTCAAATTAATATTTGAATTCTTATGATATTCAGATAAATTGTGACATTATAAATTTTTTATAAGTTCTTCTTATTTTGTTAAATTTTGGTCATATTACTTTTTTATAATAATCTATCTATAATATATAAAATAAATATGGTCTGAATTTGCTCTTATATTAATCGTTACTTATTACATTTTCCGATTCATTCATGTATAAACAAAATCTAAATGATGTGTGTAACCAAAAAAATAATAATCTAAATGATGTGTGTAACCAAAAAAATAATAATCTAAATGATGTAATCACTTGTTTAAATTTATATCTACTAAAAATATTTGCATTATAACGAGATGAAAGAAGTAAAAAACTTAAAACATCACCTTATATAAGTTTTAAATTTTTTAGCTATGTGTTCCAAGAAGTGTGAAAATTTATGGATAAACCTTTTGAAAATAATCTCTTAAGAATAAATTCTTAATTCTTTATGGAAAGTTGTCAAGATTCTCATAATAAATATTTGAAAGTATAATGGAAAACCAAGTTAACTCCTTAAGAACCATTAGTAGAGAAGCAATCCTCTCATGTCACATAACAAAATACAAGAGGGAAAGATATATAACAATTTACAAACAGATTAATATTTTTGAGAAGATATATGCTCCAAAATTTCATGTTCAACTGAGTCCTCTTGGCCCTTAACTTTCAATCCAAGTTATTGAGTAAGAGGAACACACTCAAGCTCAATCTCAAGAACACCTCTTTCAACATTCTGTAGCCTCACTGAGATTTCTTGTTTGATCCTCCCTTCATCAAGAGATATCACACCATCTCTAACAAGAGAGTTGTCCCTGCTTGCTACAAATTTCTCTAGTTGCATCGACTCGTTCACTGTAGATTTTTCATATGCAATTGCAGCTAAAACTAGTGGTTGAATGTCGATTTCAGCTTCACCCATGAAATCATCAGTTGAAAATGTATCCTTGTCGTACACTAGCTGCATAGCAACCGCAATAGAACTAATCAAACATGATTGTCATTTAAAATGGCATCAAGAAAGAAACGGTTCCCACTTCATTATCGTTAAGGAAATGCACATTTGCCATTATAATGCGACGATTTCGACTATTAGATAAAGATTAAACGGTCCATGTTCTGAACTTAATAAATCGGGTCTACTATGAAAAGTTAGAACGTAAGCCATTCAATCTTCATCTGATAGTCCAAATCAATGACCATGTGAATGCAGGGAATCCATATCCAGAAAAAAGGAGCGCGAGAAACAAAAAAGAGGCACAAACAGAAAACTAAGACTTGGCCACGCAAATAAAACTATGCCATTTTGGAACCCTTTCCCTTTTATGATGAACACAAACTGAAAAATACAATTGAACTTACCACTTTAAGGGGAGGAATGTTTTCCGGAATTGATAGCATTAAACTTTCATTCCAAACTGGATTCAAATTGTTCTTTATGACACGCGTTTTTACAGACTGCAAGAACAGATATTCAAAGTGTTACACTATACACGTTTCATTTCCTCCATTTCGTATATACTCGCTCTAGTCCTTATTGTAAGAAAAAATTCACTTTTAGAAACATTGAATAATCAATAAACCTGGTTCATATATAGTCCAAATACATTATCTAAAAAAGAGAATTTTTTTCTTATAATAAGACCAGAGGGAGTATTTTTTCAAGTAGTTAAGAAAGAAGAGTGCTCACTTGGTGTCCCAAAGAAAGGATCACATAGGGATCACTTGTCATTACATCTCTTACAGCCAGGTGAGTGCCTTTCACAACATTAACCTTAATCAACCCAACAAATTCAACCATACCTGCCTATAACAGTAAATTGAAACCAAACTAAGTATTCCAACAAAAAAAAATAGAAACTCAGCATTTCGAAATAGAACTAGCATTCATCAACTGAAAACATTACCAACGAGGAGCTCTTCTTTGAAGACTTGTGCTCAGAATCTTTTCTTGTCCAGCTATTTCGAAACGCATTTCCGATACGATGTTTGGTTGGGGCTTTGTCGTATTTTTTGTTTTCCATATGAAAAGTGTAACACGAAGAACTACTCTGAGCCAATGATAAACTTCTTCCTCGAGTTGGTACAATTGCACATGCCGAATTGTCATCACACTCCATGAACTGGAGTTGCTCATACTTTTTCCTGAAAAACCAATAGGAGAATTCTTAATAAGAATGGTATAATTATAGCTCCTTGACAAAAAACAAAAGGACAGTTCTGTTTCGTTTTAGTTACCTGATAAAATCGGAGCGGTCTTCGATCGAGGTATGTGGTTTTGGTTTTTTAATATTACTTGGGAGGAAAGCTTCATATTTTTTATTTAACAATGTATTTCCACCTAACTTCTCTAATGCGTCGACTTGTTCCTCTGACCATTCATCTAACTTCAACGATGCAACCTGTAATAGTCAAACATGTAATGCTCATGTAGCAGTATTTAACTACTGAATTCGATTAAGGCCTTGTTAAATTAACAGCTTAATCAAGCGCTTATAGTATAAATGCTTATCATATAAGTGCTTATCTATAAACTATTCTACCAATATCGCATTCCATGACTAATAAATATTTTCATTATTTCTAACAATTAATGTATATAATGACGAGCATACATTTCGACAAACATGTAATGTGTATCAGAAACATACCTTTGATATGTGGACTCCTAAACTTCTATGTATGCCGGAACACTTTATGCAAATAAATACTCCAAGACTTGAAGATCTAATGTTCAATAAATAAACTCAATGAATAAGAACAGGTATATGAATAACATGAACTAATGATGAAAAAACCGGCTATTGATAATGACATTTCATCAAAAATAGCTAACAATCCTAACGGAATCGAACTCATATGAAAATCGGACAGACGCTTACACCCATTTTGGCTCCGGAGTACCGCAATCCGCGCAAAACCTGTTTCCAGCTTGATGCATCAAATTTGATATCCTTTTGTGTGGACCTAATAATTGGTTAAAAAAAAGCATCTCAAAGATTGTATAATATGAATAAATTTATTCTTACTTTTGTGCAAAATTGAAGAAAAAAAATGAAGAAATGTTCTAACCTGGTACATCTTTCATATCAGAATTTTCAGACTGTGAAGACATTTTTAGCTTCCAATATTTGAAACCAAAACAAAGAAATGATGCTAGAATTTGCAACCAACCATTTGTGAGTTGCTTTTCTGCATTGCACAATTCATATACAAATCAAAATGAAAGAGAAAAAAAAACTAAACATGAACAAAATGATGCAATAAAGAAACAATTTTTGAATAAAAAAAATGATGAATCAACATATTAGAAATTACCTTTCTCCTTTTAAATATTGGCATCAAAAGAAGTCAATGGTGAATTTTCTAGGAAAAAAAACAAAAGGGTATGCAAAATTAAAGACCAAATCAAAGAAACTGTGTTCAATAAATGGAAAAATCTTGAAAGGTTTTCAAAAGGGTGTTTGGAAGAAAATTTGTTTGACAAGAATTGAAGGTAAGGTTGTAAGTTTGGGGAAATTGTATTGAGAAGGTAAATGTATTTGATTATGGGAGTGGCAGCAAATCACAGGCTTAAAGGGTAAAGAGAGACAGGTAAGAATTTGTTTTTGTTTTGTAACAAATGATTATTTTTTAACTGATTTTGTAACAGATTTGGTTATGGGAAAATTGTGAATCCTAACACACCAACAAACATGTAAAAATATTGTCTTTTCTAAAACAAAATAAAAATTCTAGAAACCTTGCATCTTCTATGTTTAATTGACTAAAAATTACCTTTTTTTTATTATATGTTTAAATAAATTACAAAATAAAAAATAGGACTTAGAATAGAAAAGAAAGATACATGTTCCCACTTACGTTTATTATGTTCTCAATTTTTCTTTTTAAAACCATGTCTTTATAAGTAATGTTTTAAAATCTAAACCGATCATCAATCAATCTAGTCAAGCTATTAAATCACCGAGTTATTGATAGAATTAATAAATTATTGGTCTAGATTATATGACTGTTACTTCGATTTATATAAATTAAAAATAAAAAACATTCATAAAATAATACTTTTGACATAAATTTCATAACTTTGAAATTCATGAAAAAAAATTTATGCAATTATTTATATAAATAACGTGATTAACAGTCTTACATAAATTTCGAATTTCCAAACATAACAAGTTTTAAAATAATTTTTTGAAAATAAAATATAACATGAAGGTATACGCATCACCCATCATTCTTCTTAAGTCGCCATTTTGTTGATTTGAACCCTTCTCTTGAACAGGGCGCCCCTTTCGCATATAAGACGCTCAGACCCTTAATGACTTCGCCCACAACATGCAATCGTGTGCATAACTGGTATTAGGTCAAAAAATGTTACACATAAGTCGTGGGATTCAACTACACTTCCTAGATTTCAGAGAATCAACCGCCCATTTCTCGAGTCGCTGCTACATCCTAGGAAGAATCAGTTTAGGGCCCAAGAAACTATAAATACACCAGAATCGTGATACAGAGGGACTAACTACAACACTGATAAAATACACGCATACCGTAGTTCCTCACCTCACGTGAGCTAGCTCTCAGTACCGTGATAATCCTAAAATCCTTTATTATTCCTTATTCACAAAGGGTTGTTACACATTTTTTATTTTAGCGAGTACAACAAACACCCA